ACAAGGGTGGGATTGCACTATTTTTTTAATGTTTTTATTTTATTTTATTTTTTAGTAATGTTTTGTTTTTTAATCTTTTAATCTTTTGTTTTTCATTTGTTTTGTTAATTTACTACCATCTTGATCTTGGTACTATTTTTAAAAATATTTTATGTTATTTTTAAAGCCTGGAGAAGAAATATTTTTATTTATTAATTTTTCTATTTATTTATATATATTTTTAATTAAACAAGTAATTACATTATTTCTTATATTTAATTCAATTTAAACTAAAAAAGTGAGCCATTCACATGACACATCATCATTTCTGATAAAAAGACAAAAATAGCACTGCCACATCATCAAAACTGATATAGTTATTAATGAAGATAACTGTAGGGGGTAAAGTGGAGCACGAAATCACTGTCAAGGGGGTTAAGTAGGCTACTTTAACTTTAAGGAGGAAGGGGGGGTGGGTAAAGTGAGATTTGACCGAAGTTTCAAGGGGCACTGCAGTAAATAAGCCAAAAATATATGAGGGATGTAGCCCAAACCGATCAACCTAACCCGATCATAAGAGGATTGGATTGACCTAATAATAAGATGCTCTTTGGATCAAGAATCATAAATCACTATGTATGACTTGGGTTACAGGTTGAGACCAAAACTGATTCAATTAACCTGTGCCTACCCCTACTTATAACTCTTTAAATAGCATCGACACCGAGGAACTAAAATTAAATATATAAAAAAACTTATTTTCTCGTTGTAATTTGAAAATTGTCCATAACTATTCGTAATACAGTATATAAATTAAGATTTATCATTGCTAACACAGGTAAAACTCTCTTTTTTATGCATCCATCAAATTTCATTAAGATTAGATTGCATCTATAATTTGAAATCATTATGGTTCCCGACATTCAAAGTTAGCATGTGAAAAACACTAATGAAACCGAATACTAGTTAGAGCTAATGCTTTGGGTAGTTGTAGACTGCAGTAGGTTAACTTATGGTGGTAGCAGTGTCGGTGGGGCAGAAAGTCTGCAATTTGACCTGTGAGCAAGCAAAGGCATGATAGTAAGGCTTTATTCCATGCACGAGGGGGTGCCTTTAATTTCCATTTTGGATCTTTCTAAAAAAAGCCTATTTCTACAATTAACTCTATGGAAAAAAAACAAAATTGTATAATGTGACTAGAAAAAATGCCGTGGCTTTACCCATTTTTACAGCAAGGTAATAGGGTAGGTAGTAAATTTACCGAGGGACTAATTTGTTTCTGAAAGTGACTTTGTTTATTTTTTTCAGGTATCAGATGAAAGTGACATTGTTGAAATAATAATGATCATGCCTTATACACGCCATGGGGTCAGAAATGTCTAAGTCATGAATGAGGACAGACATTATTACTCGTAAAATAAGTGATTGCGCGGGAAGATAGGTTATGGCGATAAATTAAGGATTTTAGTCTCACTCAACTTAATTAATGCAAATATTCTTAATTACTCGAATTATATAAACTAGAGCTTTTATTTATTCTTAAAATCATTTGACTAATGTGAAAGAGTAATACTAGATAGAGAGACCATATTTACAGACGGCCTAATTATGCGTTGTAAAAAGCTGTTCTTCACCGTAGCTATAAATGTTCCACTACAATACCGTCTAGTTCATTTCCCAAAAATTATAGATCTCAGAATTCATCACACCTTGGCCTGGCACTTATATGTATATATATATACTTTCTATCACCTTTATAAGATTCCTTAAAGATGTGTATCCATGCATTAGGGTCCAATAATATACCCTGGACCTGGAGCACATGGCTAGGGCATGGAGAAAAGTCCAGCAACAACAATTGCATTATAGAATATATTCATCACATAGATCAAAAACTCAATGATGGTAACCTAAAGCCCTGAAATTTCAAAAAAAGAAAAAAAGAAGAAGAAAAAAAAAAAGGCAAAAAGGACCCCAGCCATCATATTCATGTGAAAAAGCAAAGTTAGGACAAAAGCTATGGACAAATTTTTACTGTGGTTGAGCAACTATGTAGCTGAGCAGTGGGTCTATAGCCCCATCAACATATGTACCTTTGAAAAATATATTGGGCAATAGATATTGTTGTCCCAAGAAAAGGAGAGGTCCCCAAGCCAGCCTTTTCTGATTGATTGCCTCCAAACAGGGTCATGGGGTGTGTGACAGAGGACAGATAAGACTGTGGAGGTTGACACACAAACAATATTGCATAATGTAATGTGGATATAAATTATGGGGTTTGGTCATTCATTTTTGCTTCATAGGTAGTGCTGTTGATTTGGGAAATAATAATATGGGGGAGTTCAAGCACTTGGTGATTGTTAAGTTCAAGGAAGATGTGGTTGTGGATGAGATTCTGAAAGGGCTGGAGAATTTGGTTGCTGAGATTGATGCTGTTAAGTCCTTCGAATGGTAAGCGTTTCTTTAGAATAATAATGTTCTTTTGTCAGATATTTTATATTTAACATGTTATGTTGCGAGACTATCATTTTAGCGAACATTTCTACGCATGATATAGTTCATTAGAAAACAATTTTAGACCCCAACAGGCATCCCATTTCCAATTGATACTCTCATACTAGACAAAACAATCTGTTTCAGGGGACAGGATCTGGAAAGCCAAGAGCTGCTTAGGCAGGGATTTACCCATGTCTTCGTGATGACATTCGACAAGAAGGAAGATTATGCTGTGTTTCAGAGCCACCCTAAACATCTAGAATTTTCAGCAGTATTTTCAACAGTTATAGAAAAGCTTGTGCTGCTTGATTTTCCACCTACTCTTGTCAAGACACCACCCAAGGCAGCACCACCAGAAGCACCACCAGAGGCATCACCAGCATGATCTAGATGTGCTTCAAAATTGCAAATCTATGGACTCCATCAAAACAGAATATGATGTATGCTGTTGCTTGTGTGTTTTTTCCTTAATTAATGTTTGCTTGCTGTTTAATTATGGGATAAGTCAATGAGTTTGAATGTAATTTTCAACTTGTGTGGAAATATATTATGGTCATTTTGCCTCTCATGAAGACATGAAGACATGAAGACCTGAAGACATGTAGCTTAATTTCTGGGATTTGGTTTCTATCCACTTCACTAATATAAATATGGCAAATGGTGTTAGGCATATGTACTTTTTGACTTCCAGTCGTGGATGGTTCAAGCAATAGAACAACTACTTGCTATGATCAAAATTCAAAGGCCCCATGTTAACAATTTTGTCTGCCACTATATCTTGTCCAGAGAGAGAGAGAGCGCAACAGATTCAAATTTTGAAAGAGAAAAAAAAAAACAAATGAAGAAAACATTAGCAAAAATAAATTTCCTGCTGAAAGCTCATCAAGTTGCCATTTTGTTTTGGGGAACTAGTGAAAGTTTTACGGTTCATGCCCTCATCTTATACAAGATCTTAAGGTAAACTCCAAATACGTACAACAATTATCCGCAAAACATAAGTTATGGCTCATATTCATTTGTGAGCCATAATTTACGATGACAAAACATATAGTTGTGATGATCCATCAGAATCATATAACTTTACCAACAGTAAGGATAGAAAGGAGGAGATCAAGCAGGATCTAAAGGGTGGAGAAAAGTCATATTCCCTGGGCCACTGGAAAGAAAAGGGGAACTGCAAAAGGAAAATACATATCCCTGTTAAGATGCCAAAAGTCCACAAAAGCCATCAAGAGATTGAAAAAAAAACACACTAATATTCCTCAGCAGATTAAAAGTTGATTCTCTGTTATCTTGTTCTTCTCTGTTTCCTTTTAATTCTAGTGGGAAACAAAATAACTCCAATAATGCAGTTCATTTGAAAATGCAGACAATCAAGAAACTCTGCATCCTACATCCTTTCCTTCTGCTACTCAATTTCTCGTTAGCAACTTCAATTCCTCAAGATGCTTCAACAAGCATTTGTGACAAATTCAAGATTCAAACACCCTTTTCAAATCCAAATTCAACTGCATTATCCCGTTTAAATCGAACAGTCATCTGCAAATCTCAGAAACTATACCATAGTAATAGAACCTCTAACAGCCTCTTCCCAGTCTCCTACACTAACTACAAATGTAAAAGTCTGATCATCTCCAACCCTTCTGCTTCTTCTTCTTCTTCTTCTTCTTCACTCCACCATGTCTCGCCCTTAAACCCCTCCAACTCACTTTTACTCTACAACTGCTCAAACAAAATACCTTCATCATCACCACTGTTTCAAAACTTCACCTGCTTACATGCATGTGGACTTGCACCCTCTTCTTGCTTACTAGTTGATGATGTCACAAAGCTTGACGTGGGATTTCATCCAAGAGATTTGAATTGCTCATGTTACAGCAGGGTGCATAGAAGATCTTTAGATGGGAGCTATGAAGCGCATAAGTTGAGAACAAGAGTTTCTTTTGACATCCCTGACCACATTCCCAATATCTGCGACGAGTGTCAAAAGCCTAATGGCAATTGTGCTGCTGGGTTGAGGTGCATATGCCACCCTAAAGAGTGCAGTAAGTTTCCCTATTTCATAACCTCTGAATATGTTTATATGTAAATATGTATACGAGATCTATCAATTATTTCAAAACTAGTAAGACTTGGTGTTTCCAATGGATTTTGCAGAAAACAAAGTCATATCAAAGGCTGGATCCATCAATGCTTTGGGTAACATCCTGGTCTCTTTGCTTTCTCTTGTAGCACTAATGGTTTTGGCAGACAATCCTTGATGCAAGGAAATTAAGACATAAACTATATTGGTCTTGTTTTTCTTTTATTTGTAGCTGTTGAAAGGATCTTATTACTTTTAGATTTTTCTTGTGACAGCATTATGTATTATAGAGAAACATGATATCAATTGTAATTCAACAGAAATTGAGAATAAAATGAATCTTAAAGAAAATTACAGCGTTTATGATTTTCTGTAAGGTACAATCTGTTTCACATGAACCTAATCAAGATCAAGGACAGCGCTATACTTGAAATACCAGACAATCCTTGATGCAAGGAAATTAAGACATAAACTATATTGGTCTTGTTTTTCTTTTATTTGTAGCTGTTGAAAGGATCTTATTACTTTTAGATTTTTCTTGTGACAGCATTATGTATTATAGAGAAACACGATATCAATTGTAATTCAACAGAAATTGAGAATAAAATGAATCTTAAAGAAAATTACAGCCTTTATGATTTTCTGTAAGGTACAATCTGTTTCACATGAACCTACTGTAAGGTACAATCTGTTTCACATGAACCTAATCAAGATCAAGGACAGCGCTATACTTGAAATACTTGAAATTGAAATGACAGAAAATAAGAGAAAATAAAATTATATTCAAAACTCAATAGCATAATCCTGGAAATGCAAAATGTGACCTTTGCAAAAAGTTACAAGGACGCAATCAGATGGAGATGATACACACACTACCGAAGTTTAATCAGTTACATTCCAACAACAAAAACCAAGGATCATCTCTCCCTTAATTTTCTAACTAGTGGCAATACAGGAAACAGAAATTTACCTGCAAAATCTTTAGTACTTGTAATCCTTCACATGAAGACTCTCCGAAGCACCATCTCCCAATGCAGCATCCCCATTGTAGGTACCCAAAGTAGCTTCTGAATTAGCTTTGCACCTACCAAGGAAGGCAGCTCGTGCCTTCTCCACATTTTCATCCTTTCCAGCCCATGATTTCAGAGTGCTTTGCTGCAGAGCCCGCCCAAAAGAGAACGAAAGTGACCAGGGTTTCTTGGTATTTAGCTTATTCATAGCATTCAAGTTGAGGGTAGCTTCCTCCTCACTCTGCCCACCAGAAAGAAACACCACGGCAGGAACAGCTGGAGGAACCGTTCGCTGCAATGCTCTTACGGTATGATAAGCCACCACCTCAGGTGAAACCTTCTTGGCATCTGAACCAGGGGTAACCATGTTTGGCTTCAAAAGAGTACCCTCGAGAATGGCATTGTGTTCATTCAGCGCTTTGTAGCAAGCAGCGAGGACACGCTCGGTCACATCTGCGCACCGGTCAATGTCATGAGATCCATCAACCAGTATCTCTGGCTCAACAATTGGTACCAAGCCATTCTCCTGGCAAATGACAGCATAGCGAGCCAAGCCATTGGCATTCTCATGTATAGCAAGTTGGGATGGCTCATTTGGGCCAATCTTGAGAACAGCACGCCACTTAGCGAATCGGGCGCCAGCTTCATAGTACTGCTGGCAGCGCTGGGCAAGACCGTCAAGACCCTGATTTGTGGTCTCACCATTAGTTCCAGCAAGCTCAACAGTGCCCATATCCACTTTGATCCCAGGGAGGACCCCTCCTTCCTTGAGGATATCAACAAAGGGTTTACCACCAACTGTTTTCTGGTGTAGAGTTTCCTCATAGAGGATTACACCACTGAGATATTGGAGAGCACCCGGGGCGCAAAAGAGGAGCTCACGCAGGGCTCGCCTGTTGGACTCATTGTTCTCGACATTTATACTTGATAGACGCTTGCCGATTGTTCCAGTTGATTCATCTGCGGCTAAGATTCCCTTCCCGGGGGTACCGATGTAGGCAGCATTGGCTACAAGTTCATCTGTAATACATGAACAATGTTATTTATAGTCTCCCTAAATAAGCTATGGTATTAAAAGCAAATGCCGATCTCCACATCTTAAGGAATATATGAATGCCAAATTATCGAATTTTCCGCATTTTCCAGTATCAATAAACAACACCATCATTATTAAACAAAAGTACAAAACAAATCAAACCAAACACAGTATGCCTTTTTGTTATTACATTTTTTATTTTCGTTCCTTAATCATGAACAAAATAATTGAATTTAATAACCTTACTGATCACCACCCCTGTAACTAAGAGTAATTTTAAATTAAAAATGAAGAAAACAACAATGAACTGGACAGAGAAGGAAGAAGAAAAGAACAAAACCCATGTAAACAAAAAAAAAAGGAAAATGAGGGAGATAACGAGAGGCAATGCAAGTACCATGATACTTTCCCTTGAAGCAAGACATGGCTCGTTGGTATTCTAGTCGAGAGAGAAAGAGAAAGATATAGAGAAGCAGAAGGCGCAGAACAGAAAGATAGTAACTCTGGGGTTGGGCTATTTCAAGATTTAATTGCGAGAGAAAGTGTTAATGGCTGATGGCTAGGACCATGCAAGTGACGTACGAATGCAGTGGTGGATGTTGATGCCGGAAGAGATTGCAACGCTTTAGGTTGTTTCTTTGACTGTTCTTTGTCCTTGTCTCTTCATTTGTTGTGGTACATACGAGAAGAAGCATTGGGAGATATTTACGGATGGATGGAAATCACAGAAAATTATGGCATACCCTTTTATTTTGGATCGGGCTCCTCTCTGTTCTGACTTCATGGGAGTGATATGTGCGGTAACAGAATCGGTAGATAGCTTGTATGAAGCTGAAGTTCATAGCCAAAATATAATGGAACGCAAAGTTATTAAAACTCGAATATGAAGTTTTAACCTGAAGTTCATAGCCATCGCGATAGTATAATTTAAAATTATGAACTTGAAGTTCAAAACTATATTGAGAATGTTCTAACATTCTATTATCACATTAAACTGGAAGTTCTTTAATTTATTAATTCACTTAGCAGCTTAAGTTTTGGGAGTGTATTCAATTAAGATTTTAATGGATTTTAAAGAATTTAGAACTCTATGGATTTTATTTGACTTTCATAATGGATTTTAAAGAAGTATATAATTTGATGTTGATAATGGTAGTAGAGATGGTGATGGTGGGGATAGTAAAGGCATTCATGGTGGTCAGGAGAGTAGTGGTGATAGTCATGACAAAATGACAAAATGATGGTGATGGAGATGGTGAAATCATATCTTAAGAATAAAAATAGTATATCCATCGAAAGCAATTTATGTCAAACTCAAATCAAACCTAAAGTTTTAGCAAATGCATCTTCTTTATGTTCTTTAATTTGTTTGGGCCTAATATTTGCGGGCTAAAGTGCTTATCAAGTTTAGTTTAATTCGTGGCTTTGGGCATGATTTTGTTTGTCTTATCAAGAGCCCATTTGAAGTTTCAGTTTCAAAAAGAACCGTGAATTAATATTACTTTAAACTAATATTACTT